TAGATGGATAAATAGATAAATAGATAGATAGAAAGAGATAGAGAAAGAGATAGAGAGATAAATAGATAGAACGAAAGAGAGATAGAGAGATAGAAAGATAGAAAGACAGAGAAATAGATAGATAGATAGACAGATAGAGAAAAAGAGAGATAGAGACAGAGGGATATAGAGAGATGGATAGATAAAGAGATAGGTAAATATTTTTATAGAGAGACAGATAGATAGATAAGCAGATAGATAAATAACACGAGAGATAGATAAATAGGTAATTAGGTATACATAGGTAGAGAAAAATAGATAGACAAGCAAACGAAAGAAAGAAAGAAAAGACAGATAGAAAGAAGGAAAGAAGGGAGGAAGGAAGGAAAGAAAGGAAAGAAAGGAAGAAAGGAAAAATGACGGAGAAAAAGAATTAAAAAAAGAAAGAGAAAAATAATTATAATCTTTTTAAAATTTTTGAAATTTCCTCGCCGGCTCTACTAGTAATTGTGTTTATTTCTTAAATTTTATATTTTTTTAATTCTTTAAAAAATATATATTCGTGTAATCCGATTTTAAACCCCTCGTTCTTTATATTAAAAGAACTAAAGAACTAAATAGAAAATCATAAGAATTAATAAAAGATTTAATCTAAATAAACTACGAAACCCTTAATAAAGAGATTCATAATAAAAGTAATAAGTAACCTAAATATCAAGGAGCAAATTAAAACAATACCGAAATATCCCATAAATTTATTAAATTATAATAATATTAATAAATCTCAGAGTCGAACATTACAAGCCTTACCTTAATAACATTCGTATTACTTCAATAAATCAATATTAAAATCACCGAGTGTTCACCAACTCATCCTCATATATCCAACAAATTAAAATCTTAATACCAAAATTACTATTCATCAACCTATATCAATCACAAAAAAGCTTAAACCTCTACCAACAAAATAGTAAAAATAAATTAATATTAATATATTGCAAAACAAAAAATCCTAACCGACCCATCACGACTATGCATAAACGCGCTACAAAACAATAATATCGTATCGCCAACGCAAAATAACCAAAGCAAAAAAAAAAAAACGATATTCAATTAAAAACACTACATAACCATCGCCCCCGAAATTTCCTCCATACAAACAACAACAACGTACACCACGTGCTAAAAGATCTTAAATACGGAATTAATTATTTAATAACAAAAATAATATATCGAATAATAATTATATATCAAAATCGTAAATTAAATTAAATAAAGTAAATCAAAATCAAAATTATAAATTAGGTTAAAATAAGACGAATAGGGCAAATAGGATGAGTAAAATAAGTGGGGTGAATAAGGCGAGTGGGGCGAGTAAGGCGAGTAGGGCGAGTAAAGCATCGATTAGTATATCTCGTTTCCGGTCATATTATCCCAAGTAGACCGGAAAGTAGCTATTGTTCTTGCACATAAATGAATCGTTTTTATTATATGTTCAGATAACACATTATTTCAGCATGCACTATGCTGACAAAGACCCCATTCATGGATCCAGGGCCAGCGAATACGTGAATTGCACGACACTTCCTCCATGCGAGTGTCGCACCAGCACGACAGGCGGCTGTCTAAAGAGTCGGAGTTGCGAACTCACAGCAAACTTTGAAGGACGGATGTCGGATGTCACTGGACAGGTTTAGAGTCTTAAGACTGCCTTGCCACATTGGGCAAGATGCCGCCCCAAAGCTGGAGCTGAACATCTCGGGTCTGGGTCAAAGCAGATAAACCCAGTGATGCTTGGCATGCAAAAAGCATATCATTGGCTTTGCCAGCACAGCCGGTGCCATTCTCAGCCTTTTCCATGAGCAGAGCACCGGACTCACTCAAGCAATACACCTCCTGTGCATCCCATCTTGCAACAATTGCATCAATATCTAGTAGAACAGCCCGTGAAATGCCCAAGAGGCAGGCTCGGTCCTGTGCTGTCCACAGGGAGACGGCTGCATTATCTCACAAAACCTCACGAGGACTCGTGGCTCTTCTTCCAATGGCAACACAAACCATGCCTGGTCTCTGGATGTGCCCATGAGGTCCCAGGGAGTTGCGTTGCACCATCTGGCACCCAGTTTTTGTCTAAAGAGATCTGACCTAACCTGGAAGCCTCTGAAACGGACAAATGTAAACAAAGCCGGGCTGGCGCCATGCACCGGCATGCCTTTGATCAAGGATGTCGGCGTCCCCTCAAGCCGGAGGCGAGTGAAAACATGCAACTCGCATCGGAGCCCTGCTCTGTCGACTCTGCAAGTCTGGGCTTGCGGCAGCCCTCTGCCCGCGCACGCCTTCACACACGCACAAAGCAGGATCTCGCATGTCTCACACCTCTCTCACCCAGGCCTGGGACGAATTCCGGTGCAGGGGATCTTCCTCGCGCCCTGAGTCGACTCACGCGGAGCGCTAGGGCTTTGGGGAGGAGCTGAGCTCGCTGCAAACCTCCGACTTGCAATCCACACACTCCTGACACGGCTCGTTGGATCTTCAAGGTCACCACGTTCGGTGCTCCCAAATCCGTTGCCTGCTGGACTGGTCGGGGCGATGCCAGGCGATGCGTTTCTGACCTCAGGCCGTGCCTTCGAGAAGCCCGGGAGCTAAGAAACTGAGGCAGGCACCGGATAGCCCCCGGACCCGATAGACCCCCGGGTGACGGGTGCTCGTCCCATCTGGACCTGGCTTTCAGAAGGCTGTTAGACCTCGTGCCACGCAGTCCTCTGAGCGACCAGCTGGCATGTTGACTGGAGAGGTTGCTCTACCCGGATCAGAAACCATCACCTTGCTGCCGCGCTCGCACATGCCACACATTGACGGGGTCCTAGAGTCTTGCCTGGCGTGCATACGGATGTTGTCCACCAGAAAACTGGCCAGCTCCACACACAAGAGACATGCAGTTTCATTGCGCCCCATCGAAAACCCCAACTCAACTGTGTTTTGCATCACATCTGCATTCCCCTTGCATCAAATGGGTGCGGCGCACCTGGGCTTGTATTGCGTGAGGTGCCGGCACCTGCCGCACCACGTAGGGCTGCATCGGCTGTGAGGAAGCCCTTACATTGGCCTGGGCTAGCAGAACAATATTTTGGCGCCAACAGGCTTTGTTTTGTTTGTTCCATCTCGCTAAATAAACAAATCCAACCAGGTTGAAACATTTTGCCCTAGAGAAGACTGAGCTCAACTTGTAACGCAGAGCTGTCACCACCACACTGTCCTGCTCGCCCCATGTCACCAGTGATCCATCTGCAATCACTGATCCATCCGCCATGATCGCGGCAAATGCACCTTCTGTAGCCTGAACCTGCAGCTGATCTCACGGTAGACCTGTCACCAGCACTGAGTGGATTGCCCCACGTCACCACTGATCCATCTGCCAGAATCGCAGCAAACCTGCATGTGGTGCACATTCCTCAGCTGATCTGGCGCGGCAGAGCTTTCACCAGCATTGCGAGGATGGCCCCAAGTAACCACTGATCCATCTGCCAGGATCGCAGCAAAAGCAAAAGCTGTGGCCTGAACCCGCTGCTAATTCCTTCTCGCACGGCAGAGCTGTCACCACCATGGTCTGGACAGCCCTATGTCACCACTGATCCATCTGCCAGAATCGCAGCAAACCTGCATGTGGTGCACATTCCTCAGCTGATCTGGCGCGGCAGAGCTTTCACCAGCATTGCGAGGATGGCCCCAAGTAACCACTGATCCATCTGCCAGGATCGCAGCAAAAGCAAAAGCTGTGGCCTGAACCCGCTGCTAATTCCTTCTCGCACGGCAGAGCTGTCACCACCATGGTCTGGACAGCCCTATGTCACCACTGATCCATCTGCCAGAATCGCAGCAAACCTGCATGTGGTGCACATTCCTCAGCTGATCTGGCGCGGCAGAGCTTTCACCAGCATTGCGAGGATGGCCCCAAGTAACCACTGATCCATCTGCCAGGATCGCAGCAAAAGCAAAAGCTGTGGCCTGAACCCGCTGCTAATTCCTTCTCGCACGGCAGAGCTGTCACCACCATGGTCTGGACAGCCCTATGTCACCACTGATCCATCTGCCAGGATCGCGGCAAGGGTTGTAGAACGTTGCAAAGGCAGTAGGCCGAAACCTGACCACCACGAAGACACACTTGAAAAATGTGACAGTCGAAGCCGCCACCTCATATGTATTGGGCCGGGCAAAGCGGAGTCCTCGGTAGCCGGCCCTTCCTCATGCGGGAGAGCGCAATGCGCCATGCCGCCAAGGTCGCCACCCCTCTCCCTTACACGCGAAGGATCGCGGCAAGGGCGTCATCAGCGGCCTGAATCATCTGCACGTTCTTCAGCTGGTTTTGCGCAGAAGAGCTGTTCCCACCAAATTTTGGATGGCCCCATGTGATGACTGATCCATCTGCCGGAATGGCAGCAAATGCAAAACGAGTGGCCTGAACCTGCTGCACATTCCTCAGCTGATCTTGCCGGCAGAGCTGTCACCACCATGACCCTGACTGCCCCATGTAACTACCCTGTCACCGCCCACCTCCTTTGGTTGCCACTGTCTTTGGCTGCAAGACAACAGCTGTCATCTCATCTCCGTCTTGCAGCTCTGCATTTCGCAAAGGCATCACAAGGTCAGTCAAGGGATGACAATCTGCAGTGACAAGTTTGAGGAACTTCCAACCAAAAGTATCTTCGGCTAGCAGCTTCAAACCTCCAACATTGGAGGCTTGCGAGATTGAAAGGCATTGCCTTCCGCTTCATCCTGGAAACGCCGCAGGGATATGCTTCGATCAGATCTTGAGCCAAAATGGTGCTAGCGGTATGACCAAAAAAAACAACAATCCTCTGGTGCTAGTGAGGGCGCACGAATGCTGGACGTATCTCTCAGGTCCAAGCTCCTTGTGCCGGCATGTTGTGGACGCGCGGCGCCTCAAAAACAAGGGCGCGCACAGAACAAAATGTGCCCCATGCGCTTCTTAGTCCAAGTGCAAGCACAGCCAGCCCAGTTTTCCACGCTTTCTCCAACTCATTTCCTGCATTGGGCAGCGAAACATCAGCCTGGCATTCAACCATTTCAAAGTGCAAGTGGAGACTCATAGCCTCCTGAAATGGGATTTGACGATATCTCTTACGCTCACTTCTTGAGCTTCTGGCCTCCTCGGAGCAGACCTGTGCGCCTGGCTGCAATCAGACCCACCTTCTGGCCAGGCACGGCAGAGCGGGCCACCGTGGTGGGGTGTCCCACGTGCTGATGGTTTCCTCCTCCGTGAGGATGCTCCACCGGGTTCATGGCCGAACCGCGAACCTTTGGCCAGCTGTTTCTCTTCACGCGGTACTTGTGGTGATTGTTGCCGGCCTTCAAGACCGGCTTGTCCATGCGGCCGCCACCCGCCACGATGCCCACGATGGCTCGGCATGTGGAAGGCAGGCTCTTGCGGCTTCCCGAAGGCAAGCGAACCCGCGTCTTGCGACCATCATCAGAATGGCCCACCACCATGCACGATGTCCCCGAGGCACGAGCAAAGCGTCCACGGTCAGCTGCCTTCTCTTCACACATAGAAATCACCGTTCCCTCTGGCATCTTTGCAAGCGGCAGGACATTTCCCACAGCCAACTGGGCCTTCGAGCCGCAGTAGACGAACTGCCCGGAGTGGCTGCCCTCCACAGCCACCCACAGCTCCTTCTTCAGCTTGTAGCGGTACGGGTCATGGAAGACCACCTCGCACAAAGGAGCTCCACGGCCAGGGTCGTGCAGGATGTTCTTCACCAAGCCCTTGATGTAGCCCTTGCGCTCGGCGAAGTCGACGGCGCGCAGCTTCACGGCACCCTTCCTGAGTCTGGTCTTCGCTGTGAAGATCAGGGACTTACCCTTACGCGAGCCACGGATCACGCGGCCCATGGCTGTCAGATGCGAGTCGGGCCCTGCCCTTCGGCGAAATGCTCAGAAAGTGGCTGAGCCTGTGCAAAGAGCGGGGTCAAAGCAAGTCACCTTGCATTTCAACTCTCTTCGCATGCTTGTATGCACATGCATCGTGTGTGTGTGTGTGACAAAAGAGTGTGACAACACACGAGAACACGCACATGAGGCGCGCACACACACACACACACACACACACACAAATACACCTCCCGCACACCTTCAGCAAGCAGCTCTCCCGAAAGCAGCACGCTATTTGGTCTGGTGCGGTGCGGTTCTTCACAGGGTTCTAGCGTTCGCCTCACTTCTTGAGCTTCTGGCCTCCTCGGAGCAGACCTGTGCGCCTGGCTGCAATCAGACCCACCTTCTGGCCAGGCACGGCAGAGCGGGCCACCGTGGTGGGGTGCCCCACGTGCTGATGGTTTCCTCCTCCGTGAGGATGCTCCACCGGGTTCATGGCCGAACCGCGAACCTTTGGCCAGCTGTTTCTCTTCACGCGGTACTTGTGGTGATTGTTGCCGGCCTTCAAGACCGGCTTGTCCATGCGGCCGCCACCCGCCACGATGCCCACGATGGCTCGGCATGTGGAAGGCAGGCTCTTGCGGCTTCCCGAAGGCAAGCGAACCCGCGTCTTGCGACCATCATCAGAATGGCCCACCACCATGCACGATGTCCCCGAGGCACGAGCAAAGCGTCCACGGTCAGCTGCCTTCTCTTCACACATAGAAATCACCGTTCCCTCTGGCATCTTTGCAAGCGGCAGGACATTTCCCACAGCCAACTGGGCCTTCGAGCCGCAGTAGACGAACTGCCCGGAGTGGCTGCCCTCCACAGCCACCCACAGCTCCTTCTTCAGCTTGTAGCGGTACGGGTCATGGAAGACCACCTCGCACAAAGGAGCTCCACGGCCAGGGTCGTGCAGGATGTTCTTCACCAAGCCCTTGATGTAGCCCTTGCGCTCGGCGAAGTCGACGGCGCGCAGCTTCACGGCACCCTTCCTGAGTCTGGTCTTCGCTGTGAAGATCAGGGACTTACCCTTACGCGAGCCACGGATCACGCGGCCCATGGCTGCAAATTCACCGCACTACAGCCCTAGAGCCTGAAGTTGAGCGTTGCTGCAATGCTCCAAGCTGCCGCAAAATGTATCCAATTGGGTCCAAAACCCGACCCGACGGGAATGAAACGGCTGGAAAGCTGCATGGGACCGTCCCTGTTAAACTTCACTTCCCCAGCTCTTGATTCTGACTCACCTTGGATTTCCCATGCCGCTGAGCCCTGGATGAGAGGTGCACGGGTGCACTTCACTCGCACTGAGCATCTGGCCGAGGAGGATCTTGGCTTCGGCTGATATGTCGCGGCATGCAGCTGCGCCACAACTGCAGGACGGAACGAGTCGCTCATTTTGTGGCAACAAATGGCAAGAGTGAGGATTCCAACTGGACGCACATTCACTGCCTAAAGGAAACAGTGAAAAACAAAACAAAAAAAACAAAACATCAACTGGCTCCCAATGCAAAATTCACACTGGGTGGTAGGCCTCGCCTGGAGCAGCTCTTGTCGTCTGTGCAGGCTTCACAGCCTCCGTGAACCACTGCTCTCTTTAGGCTCTCCGGCTATATGTTGAAGGGCTTTCCTTGGTTTTCCTCCCTATTGTCTCAGCCCAACAGTTCCCCGAGTCTCAAAGCCTGGCTGCAGGCAAGCGAGGGCGGCGTTTGAGAGCGTTGCGACGAGCCCTGACGGAGGGCTTCCGCACATCCCTCGCATCCCATGGTCTTTTGCGAAAGCAAAAGAACTCTTGACTGCGAGGAGAAAGAGCAAAGGGTCGCGCCGAAGAGCAAGGGTTGGTGTAAATGAAGATGGCAGTTCAATCCCGCTTTTAGCTCGGTCTCCCATTCGCAGGCAATGGTTCCTACTTGTGGTGGACAATGCACAGTGATTATGCAATCCGCAAATCACAACTATTTCTCAATCCTCAGAGGAGCACCCATCCTCACAAATCGATTTCTTTGCAAATCTCTTGCTGCATGCAGCGCTCCGCTGCGCCTGCAATTGCGGCCGCACCTGGCGAATCTCAGCACTGAGGCAAAGGGCGTCTTCGGGCACTTCGAAAGCGTGGCAGGCGCGGCCAGCGTCGGAGACCTCCCCGGGGCAGAAAAACGAGGGATTGTGCAAAAGCAAGCTCATGGTCCAAATGGCTGGCAACTAATGAGCGTGTTCCTTTAACAAAACATATACCCAGCTGTTCAACTTTGCGGTTCAAAAGATTGAGCATTGCTTTGCAAGAGCTCTCCAAACTTCTGGACCGCACTCCAAAACACATGTTGCCTGAATTACCCTGCCATACTTGCCCATCACAGATGCGGTCTGTGGGAACCTGCTGCCAGCTTCCTTTACCCAAACGAATGGCACCTGGGAGATTGCCCCACGGCACCCTGGGCCATGGCGGCGCAGGCTTGACCGCAGCCCGCCTCGGGCGGCTCGGGCTCTCGAAAGTCGTGTTTCAGAGGATGACCACACCCGGTAGACCCGTCTTCCAGTGGACAGCGGCAGTTCTTGCAATGGAACCAACGAATCCTGGCTCTTGCACGGACCAGCGTTTTGGCCCCAGCCTCGCATCCTCCTGGCCGGAAAGAGTAAGGACCACGCACTGTCACGAATCCCAAGCCTGGCACCCTTGCTGCAGTGCTGCCAACTGAAGGCGCTCTGGCCAGTGGCACGTACCTGCTTTGATGTGAAAACTGGAAATGGCCGTTCCGCTCTCCAAACTTCAATAGAAAGGGCGCTGGATGTTGCTCTTGGCCGGAAGCGACCGCCTGAAGCAAAGGCATGCGGAAACCACCCAGCATCCTTGAATCTGATAGCCAAAAACCACAGATCAATACCGCTTCTCTTGCCTCATGGGCTGCTGCTGAACGACCACGGTTTTTGCGATCACAGGGCCTATGAGGCAGGATTCTTTCACTGAAACGAGGACGCAAGTTCTGAGGCGTGCCTTGGCGAGGGTCCAGATCCTGCCACAAGCACTTTCGAGCGGTTTGTTGCCGGCCTCGTCAAAACACCCAATTTCCAAGGAGAGAGGCAAAGGTCCCGCTTTACCCACAGACGTACCTCTCCAGCTGATATACTTCAAAGCTCACCATGTCCAAAAGGGTTCCCCAGTCTGAGGTGTGTGGAAAACCCATTCGGGGAGCATTCGCCGGCGCCCTGCAGCCACCCACCCTGGCCTGGCCCTCGCGGTAAGGCACCTGTGCCGAGTGAGACGCAGGTGAGACGCGGCACCCGTCGCAGCAAGGCAGAAGGCCAAACACCCGTACCGTTTGGGGGAGGCGGTTCTACCAGACCTCAAATAGTGTTAGCCACAAAAACGCCCACCAAAGAGGACCTAACAAACGACTTTGACTTAAAAAGGGATCGAAATGGAAACCAAACGCAACACAAACCAACCAGTTCTGGCGGATTATTCCCCCCACCCCCACTGTGCAACGTCCACTTTTGCTTCCCCACCGACCAACCCCCCCCCCCTCCTTGGACCTTGGGGCCCGGCCGACATCGAGCGCGCCGACGGCTTCGTGAGGCCGCGGAGCTGGCCGTGCCAAGCATCTTTGAAGCGCTTGTTTGTTTACTGTGGACCCCCCAAAATAGTGGGTGTTCCATTTGAGCTCATTTGAAGCTTCCTTCAAAAGCACCAAAAAGGGGTACCCTCGCACCAAGACATAACCATTGTGTTGTTTTCCCTTTACAAGGGCGGATGTGTTGGACGAGACACAAGTCTTCCACGACCCAAGCCCCCGGCATAGTCTGGGTTGGACCTCGGGTTGCAACCTGCAAACTTTCGTCACCTAACCGATCGCGTCAGCCTCTGAGCCTCCGGCTGTGCTCGACATGCCGCAGGCACATGGCCCTCGCCTCAAGGAAACGCGAGCAGACCGGCCTGCGAACGCGCTCCGAATTGGCTTCGTGGCAAAAGAATTGGGGGGGGGGGAACCCGGGAAATGGTGATGTCCTTTTGGTTTCCCTTGAAACCAAGGTGAGAAGGGTACCCTCAAGAACGCGGCAGCCGAAGGTCACGCTCAAAGGGCAGGGCCCAGTGACTCCACCGGCATGATGGGACTGGTGCTGGGCAGCTCGCTCCAAGCCTGGCCGCCAGCGATCCGTTTTTCCCGCAGACTGACATCAAACCCAAAAGCCATCTGCCCTTTTTGGACTCCATGTAAATTTGCAGGGGATTACAAAAGGCCGCAAACTTGCTCTGGGCAACTGAGTCTTCCTTTCTCGCCAGCTCAGGCCTCACCAATCGACATGCACCTGCAGGCCGCAGCACAATGCACGAAAAAGGTCGCCTATGGCATGAACGCACACAGCTTGCCTCTGACATGCACCCCTGTGCGTGGCCAAGCAGCTTTTAGCCGCGGGATGCGATACAGAAATGTGGAAATCCCAATCTGTTGACTAGCCCTGTCTGGACATGCATTGCGCTCAACCCATCTCTGGCCCGCACCCGTTGTTGGGTTGCGGCGAAGTTTGCTCAGCCTGATCCACCAATGCACTCAGGCCAGGCAATGTATCACGTTTACGGGAACTCAAGCTAGGTCGACATAGAATGTCAAAGCGTCCTTCATCTCGACTTTCGTAATGCCATTGGTGGGCGTGACCAGCCGCTGGTCCCCATTACCAGTCTGGCGCACAACTCACAGATGGCTTCAGCGAAAAGTGCTGCGTCGCCTGGTGGTTCTTGCCATTGGCCACTTTCCCTATCGAATCCACGCAATCCGCCTGCAGCGTTGCCGCGTACCTCCGTTTTCAGTCCATGGAAAGACAAGTGCCTCACAACATTGAGTGCACTAGGAAGTTCCGAAAATCGTGGCCTGCAGTCTTCCTTCAAATACCATCTTTGAGGGGGTTCCTTCAAAAACTAAGCACACCTTGGATGGTGGGATTCTCTGTGCCTTAGGGGTTACCCATAGGTGTGAATTGAATGGACCCTTGAGTGGACATTTCCATGGGGATGTCAGCCATTTTGAGGGTCCAACCAAGATACCAGCAACTTGGAGAAAGAGACACCCTGGTCAAAGCACCCACGGTGTCTTAGCCAAAAAACCAACTGGCGGCCCGAGAAAGAAAAAAAAAAGCGCACTCCGATTGGATCACACAGCGGGAGATCTCTTGGTGCACCTGGATCGGGTCACCCACACGCAGTACTAGCAACATGTTTCACACAGCCCCGAACGTTTGTCGCACCAACCTGTTTCGCGATAATGTCTGTGTTGCATATCTCTTCAGACTATGTGGAGAAACAATGGTTTGGGACAGGATGTTATTTTCGGTCCACACTTGCAAGCATTCATGCAAAACATGCAACAACCTTTGGCTTTATATTCTCATTTTCGGGGGTTGCATTGAAAGAAGCAAAACGTGTGAAGGGGGTGGCCAAAATGACAAAAAGTTGGGCTTCGTTGAGGCGACATCAAACTTGTCAGCCCTCAATGAACAGCTTGTTCAAGGCGCTTCTGAAACTTTTCGAAACTTGACAGGTTTGAAAGTAGCTGGTGCCAACCCAAGGTTGGTCTTGAGAGGCGCCACAAACCCTCCAAAAACAGCTATCCCATTCGAAGACCAACCCAAGTAGGCCAATATTGGTAGGCGAGCGTCAAAACGCCAACCACCTGCCTGCTACTATTCCTTTACCCTCATACAAGACCGAGGTTCCAAATAGCATCACCCTCATGACACCCCAAACGAGGGAAACAACAACAAAAACAAAAAGCTAGGCTGGTTTACCTCCTGCTCGCGCAGGCATGACCAAGGCCCCCCCGAGGCCTGCTCCGCTAGGAGCTTCTCGCAGAAGGAGCAGAAGAGGTCCGGCTTCACCAGCACGTTGAACCTTCGAAATGGATGAGACTCCCGGCCCTGTGGCCATGGGTCAAAATCCAAAATTCCGTACCCCCAGTGAACATCCCAATCCCCACTAAAATAGAATGAAATGGGTGGTGCACCTACCCCAAAATAGTACCATTGGTTTTGACCCACAGCCATATTTAATGGGGAGAAACCAAAACGGGGAGAGCATTTCGAGACAACCCCACCAAAAAAAGTGTGTCCACATCACCCTGAGCTGCCGCTCTTGCGTAAATCATCTTTTTCGGTGGCTTGCATGAACGGTCAGGCCAGCCACTGTCATTTGCTTAGTTTGAGATCTTTTCACTTTTGCGCAAGGGCTCATTGTTCGAAATGCG